TCCACTTTTCCCATCTCCTGTTCAAAACTATCCAGCTGCCTTCTTCAATGTGGAGAACTAGATTTTCTGTGATCAGCTAAAACTGGGAGGGGAGATAGCTTTTTATAAAGGGTACCACATGGAGGCAGGGGCGTAAACTACAGGGGGGCAACAGAGCTCAAGCCACCCCCAGATTTCCCAGTGAGAGGCAACGCAGCCCTCCCCCCCACCTGCCAGGTAGCATCATGAAGCTGCTCAGTCTGCAAGGTTCTCCAGTTCAGTCAGTTCTGTTTGTTTTCATAGCAGTTTTAAGTTCCTAGGAAGCCCAGGGCTGGTTTTGTTTGTTTTGGTAAAGATTAGAGGGGGAGGGGACCTTCAGTGGATAGTACTGCCTGTGAAGAAACAGAGAAAGAGCGTGGAAGAGGGAAGAGAAAGATCAATCCATCTCGCCTTGAAGAATGTATTTCGTGTAGCCTTCAGCACAGACTCTTATGTAAGTACAGCTAGGTTCAAGACCAGTAAGCACCTCAGAGACCAACAAGAATTTGGTGGTATAACCTTTGGAGAGTCAAAGCTCCCTTTGTTGGTATCTGGCGAAGTAAGCATTGGCTCTCAAAATCTTATACTGCCAAATTTTGTTGGAGCTGCGGTGGCTCAAGCGGTTAAGACGCTGAACTGCAGGCTGTGGAAGGTCAGTAGTTCAGCAGTTCGAGACCCGGGTGCCGCATGACGGAGTGAGCTCCCGGCTCTAGTTCCAGCTCCTGCCAACCTAGCAGTTCGAGAGCAAGAAATTGCAATTAGATAAATAGGGACCACTTCGGTGGGAAGGTGACAGCGTCCCATGCACCTTGGTGTTTAGTCATGCCGGCCACACGACCACGGAAACGTCTTCGGACAGCGCTGGCTCTTCGGCTTTGAAACGGAGATGAGCACCGCAACCCTAGAGTCGGACTCGACTGGCTTTCGAGCAAGGGAATCTTTACCTTTAAGGTGCTACTGAACTCAAATCTAGCCGTTGTACTGCAGGCCAACAAAGTTATCCCCTGAAATTATCTGACGTAAGTAATGGATCGAGAGAATTATGTTTTGCCTTCCCAGATGGCATGCGGAGAATTGCATTATTGCTGCATTCTGGTGGCCCTGCCTTAGAGAAAGAAATGGTCCCATCTCCATTTTATCTTTAGCCATGGGTGTGGGGGAGTGTTACCAAGGACCCCCTTCCTACCTAGATGTGTGTTGTCTGCCCTGATTCCATCCTGGCTGAATTTGCCTTGGCAGCCGTGTTAGGAGCAAGCAATGCTTTGCATTGGAGAAGGTGAGGCTAAGGCTGTCCTCAGGCTAAACTAAAGAGTGGCCAAAGCCTTGGGCAGGAGACTGATCCACTGACAGAATATGTGCATGCTTACCCATTGCCACAGGGGCTTGCAAAGCCAGGTACCCACCTTCATCTATCGACAGCAAACACACGTCTTTCTGAGTGCAAAATCTGATTACTGTCAAGCAGCCAGGTGAGCTGATTCCCTTTTGCTGACCTTCCGTCAATCAATAAAGAGTATTATTATTTTAAAAATGTCTCCTTGCCTACCAGCACTACCCCAGGCATGGAGGAAGCCACCACTCTGCCATCCATTTTCTCCACCCTCCCTGGATGCAGTCTGCTTTTATCACCTTTCTAGGAAGCCCCCCCCCCCCCCCTTTCATAGATTCTCATCCTGGACTCACCCTGAATTCCTGGACCTGATTTCTTTGAAACTATTTTGTTCTGGTTCCTATAACTATCACTTGCTCTGCTAGCCAAAAACTGTCTGGTCTCAGCCTCTCCATGGGCCCAAAGGCTGCCAATTCCACTTTTCTTTCTTTGGGACTTTAGGACATTTACTTGCCACGCAAGAGTACCCTTCTACTGCTGGCTTCACTTTTTCCTTGGAATCTTTGGAAGTTTCGCCTAAAGCTCCTACTCTCAACCTGTGGATTATCAAAATGGACAATGTACTACTGGAAGTTAAGGTGATTTTGGTGTCCAGGGATTTGCAGCTTCAGAGAAAAAGAAATGGACGGGATGGGAATACTGAGTATCCACTGTGTGAGTGGTGTAGTTGTTTAAGAGTTGGTCCAAGACTGTGGAGACCAAAGTTCAAATCCCCACTTAATCATGAAGTGCACTATGTGATCTCGGGGCTATCATACTCGCAGCCTAAGTTGTGAGGAAAAGAGAGGAGGAGGAGGAAGTATTTCCTTTCATACATGAATGAAATATTTACTCAGATTGTCTCAGTGAAGAAGTTCATGACATCTTTCTTCTTGCAGTGTCCTCTGTCTTTCAACATGGATTCTGTAAGGGAAGGTCTGGTCTCACTAACCTTTTAAGAGTTTTTTGAGGGGGCGAACAAATGCGGACAGGGGTGACCCAGTAGATGTTGTCTACCTAGACTTCCAGACATTTTTTATAAAGTTCCTCAACAAAGGCTCCTGTGTAAACTCAGCAGTCATGGGATAAGAGGACAAGTTCTCTTCTGGATTAAACTTGGTTGACTCAGCGTGCAACTGAAAAAAGGCAAATGCTATGCTGGGGATTATTAGGAAAGATTGAAAACAAATCAGCCAGTATCATAATGCCCCTGTATAAATCAATGGTGCGGCCTTATTTGGAATACTGTGTACAGTTCTGGTCATTGCACCTCAAAAAAGATAGCATTGGAAAAGGTGCAGAAAGGGCAACAAAAATTATTAAAAGGATGGAACACCTTCCCTACAAAGAAAGGTTAAAGAGGTTAGGACTTTTTAGCCTGGAGAAACAACAACTGAGGGGTGACATAACAGGTTTACAAAATTATGCATGGGATAGAGAAGGCAGAGAAAGAAGTACTTTTCTCCATTTCTCACAATGCAAGAACTTGTGGGCATTCAATTAAAGTAATAAGCAGTAGGCTTAGAATAAACAAAAGGAAGTACTTCAACCAAACAATAACACATGGAATTCCCTGCTGCAGGAAGTGGTGCTGACTACAAGCATAGATTGGATAAAAATGGTCCATCAGTGGCTATCAGGCACAAGGTATGGATGGAAGACTATGCCTGGGGCAGTGATGCTGTCTTCTTGGTGCTTGGGGGGGCAGCAGTGGGTGGGCTTCTGGAGTTTTGGCCTTGCTGGTGGACTTCCTGATGGCACCTGGGTTTTGACTACTGTGTGATACAGAGTGTTGGACTGGATGGGCCACTGGCCTGACCCACCATGGTGTCTCTTATGTTCTTATGACTCAGATTCAGATTATTATGAGTGAAAAAAATATTTTTAAAACCACAGAACTGTTGATGGCATATGATTTCTGGAAATACAAATAACTAGGAAAAAGGTTCGTTGTGGAAATAAATACAACGAGCTCTAGAAAGAGGCTCTGGGCGGGTGTCACTGCCTTGGACACTCAGTGTCAATTTGCTGTGGCGACCTCAGCAGGGTATAATGACACTGAGTCCACCATTTTTCCAGAGGAACTGATCTTTGCTACCTAAAGAACAGTTGTAATTATGAGTGATCTCCAGCCCTCACCTGGAGATTGGCGACAATGGTTCCCCAGAAGGGAATGGTTGGTTTGGAGGGTGGAGTCTATGGCTTTGTACCTGTCTGAGGTCCCACGCCTCCTGAAACCTCACCCTCTCCAGGCTCCATCCCTCACCTCTCCAGGAATTTCCCACCTGGAGTTGGCAACCATATCTCCTTCCCAGCCAATCATCAACTGACCCCTGCAGCCTCTCTCGTGCTGTCATACGGGGCACCTCAGCATATAAGGATACAGAGCCCACCATTTTCTCCAGGGGAACTGATCTCTGCCATCTGGAAAGCAGTTGTAATTCTGAGTGATCTCCAGCCCTCACCTGGAGATTGGACACATTTTACCTCAGAACAGCAAACTGTTTAGAATGTTAGAGGCAAAAGCCAATCAAGTCGCATATGCAAACGACCTCTGTGTTCCGAGGCAAAGGCCAATGAGGCTGCATATGCAAATAACCTCTGTGTTCTAACTGGCTGGAGGGGGGGGGAGAGGAACAGTAAACTGTTTAGAATGTTGGAGGTTAAACTTCAAGCAATGCAGCCAGTGGATAGGGACAGATTCTGAGTGGCACACCAGGGCGCCAACCAATTCCGGGGCGTGTGGAATATTCTAGAGAAGTGCCACCACCACCATTCGGCTTTTATATATAAGGGAGATTGCCCAGTGGCCCATTACATGAAATAGGATTGTAGGCTAGATGGATCACTGCCCTGGTTCAGAAGAAAAACAGCAGTACACCTATGAATTTCACCACAAAGGAACCAAAGTACTTTCAGAGGAGGCAGAGAGAGAAAGGGTTTGTACTTTGTGCTCCTCCTTTCCCAAGCCAAGGTGTTCTGTATGCAATTCAGGATTGCCAGCCAGCCTCCAGGTGGGGGCTGGAGATCTTCTGACCTGGAATTACAGCTGATCGGCAGACTCCAGAGAGGTCAGCTCCCCTAAAGAAAACGCTGCTTTAGAGGGTGGACACCATAGCACTATATCCCTAATCTTCAGACATTTCCCAACCCGGAGCTGGCAACCACAGCATCCATGTTAGTGACCCTGAGAGTAAAAATACAGGTCGGGGGGGCCAAGGGCCGAAGCTTTTGTGGGATTTGCTCCGTTGCAGTCCCGGCACTGCGGATGAGAGCCTCGTCGATGGAGTCGGTAGAAATCCAAAGTGCCGCCTCCTGCCAGTGACCCAAAGGCATCTTGGGGTACCTTAAAGAGGATTTCTTGAAGCAGAAGCTTGAGATACCTGAAGTGGCAGGGAGTTCCCGCGACTGCTGTTGGAGACTCCCCCCGGGAGGCGGGACGCAGCCAGAACGCCCTGCCTTTCCAGCTCCTCGGGGCTGAGGAAAACGCCCTGCAAGGGGGGCGGCCCGACGTCCAGCCTACACGGGGGTGGTTGGGCGGGAAGCCAAGCGTTTCTTCGGTTCCTCCCCCGCCCCGGCCGCTGACTGCTGCTCATTTGCCTGTCCTCGGAGGAGCTGCAGGCTCGCCTCCCGCAAGGGCGGTTGGGACAAGGCTGCCAGGCGGAAGCGGGATGGGGCGTAGCGGCGCCGGACTCTGCGGCTTCGGTGAGCGCGCCGTCTCCTTCTGGCCCCCCCCCACCCCCCACCCCGCCTGCAAGCTCAGGTCCTGTCGCCTCGCCCCGAGGGACCCCCGCCGGGCTGATCCGTGCCATCCCCCCCCCCAGCCTGCTCTCCCCCCACCAATTTATTAAGCAGCCTGCCTGTTGCTGAAACCGCCGCCCGATTTCCGCCCCAGCCGTCTGTAGGGTTTTCACGGCCAGAGATGAACAGAGGTAGTTACCATTGCCTGCCTCTGCATAGCAACGCTGGACTTCCAAGGCAGTCGCCCATCGAAATACCGTCTAGGGCCGACCCTGCTTAGCTTCCCAGCACTGTTCCCTCTAAGCTGAGTTAGTGTGAGCCAGCTCACAGTTTTTTAGCCCCCGACTCACACATTTTTGTCTTAGCTCAGGAAGGATGGCTCCAGAGCAAACTAATGTATGCAGCAGCCAAATCGCTCGCTCACAATGCAGAATTTTTGTTCACAAGACTCCACAGCTTAGAGGGAGCATTGCTTCCCAGACAGATTGGTATCAGGCTAGCCTGGGTGTTTTCTGACTGAAGCTCCCCAGCCGGCAGGGTCTCAAGTAATTACTCCCAGCATTCTACAATTAGGGATACATCAATCTCCAGTGTTGACATATTTATTTCCTTCACTGTTTCCACCCCAGAACTGAACCCAAACAAATGGCTACCACACAAACTAAGCTTATTATTCCTATTTGATTCTTGTATACGTTAAAACATTTTCATTATGTTGTATAATAATTTACTGCTCACCAATGCTCCCGCTAAGCTGTGGAGTCTTGTGAGCAAAAATTCAACTTGGTGAGCTACTGGCATTAAAGTTGTGAGCGAGCGATTTGGCTACTGCATAAATCAATTTGCTCTGGAGCCATCCTTTTTGAGCTAAGACAAAAATGTGTGAGCCGGAGGCTAAAAAACTGTGAGCTAGCTCACACTAACTCAGCTTAGAGGGGACACTGCTGCTCACCCTCTATATGTATGGACTGGTAATTTCCAATTTTGTTTCTGTCTCTGTCTTGACTCTAGTTGGCCCTTCTTAGCAACTAACTCCCCCCTCTCTCTTGCTATATGTAAGGGTTGAGGAAATTCTGTTCCCCTGTGTCTGAGGAAGTGTGCTTGCACACGAAAGATTATACCCAGAATAAAACTTTGCTGGTCTTAAAGGTGCCACTGGACTCAAACTGTGTTCTACTGCTTCAGACCAACACGGCTTCCCAGTAGATGTTGTCTACCTAGACTTCCAAACACAGCTACCCACCTGGATCTGATATATTCCTGCAAGCGCTTGGTTAGATATGCTCCCTGGGGCTTCTGCATTTCTGCTGCCTTCTCCACAGAAGCCCTGTTCCACCCCCTAACTTGCATCTCCCCCCCCCTCCATGTGACTTTTGCAGATGCAAGGCATGGGCTCCAGCGGCTGATGAGCAGTGGCATCTCACTGGTGGTGATCGGCCACTTGAATTTGGTGCTGGGTGCCATTGTCCACGGCTCTGTTCTGCGCCACGTGGCCCGACCCAACCACACCATCACTTCTGAGTATGCCGTGGCCAACATCATTGCTGTGGTCTCTGGTTTTTTGGTGAGTGATCTCGGAAGAGATTTTAGGGTTAAAAATCAGGGGCATCCAAATGACCAGGTAGTCCGAAATGCGGCACAGTGGGACAGATGCTTCTTGTGGCCTACACAGGAGCAAGTACGTTGCATTGTGGGCAAAGATGGTGGTGAAAGGAAGGATGGGGCTGGGGGCGGACCCTGGCTCCCTGCTGCAGGATTTGAGCCTGTGGGTCAGCCTGCCCCTCCAGCTGTGTCTAGGTAGGAGGGGGCATTTACATCTGGCTGCACCAATGACCACCCCTCCTGTCTGGTTTTCCTAGAGCATTGCTACAGGCATTGTAGCTATCCTGGTGTCTCGGAATCTCTCCCACCGCCCTCTGGTGAGTGCCCATTCCTAGCCCGGAAGTTGCCCTGGAACCACTCCTTCTCTTGCCCAGACTTTGCTCCTTGCAGGGCCTCATTCCAGCAGCGGGCACCGCACCTGGCCTACTAGCAGGCCTTCTGCCAGGAGCTGCCAGCCCCTCCCAAGCCCGCCACTCTTTGCCTTTCAAGGTGTGGCCCAGTCTCCGGGCATGCTCACGTCAATTTCCAGACAAACGTCTAAGCTGATCTCTGATGTGTGTTGAAAGACTGTGGGTTCAGACCCAGTGAGTGAGGCACCTGCTCCCTCAGGTCCCGGCTGTCTCTCTTCCTCCACTGGTAGCACCTTTGCACTCTGGTCTTTGCAGAGATGCTCAGCGGAGTTGCTCCCTTCCCCCAGCGGTAGCAGCCCAGGGGGATACTCCAGGACTAAGCTACAGCTTCCCTGTCCCTGCCATTCTCTATCTGTTTTCAGTTTTGGGTCTTGCTTGTGGTCGCCCTGGCAAATGCCTTAATCTCGGGAGCCTGCTGTGTGGGACTGGCAGTCGCCATCTCTCTCACCGTTGCCAATGGTGGCCGCCACCTCCTTGCTGGATGCAACAGTTCTGCCCTTCCAGCTGAGACACACATCACGACCAACGAGTGCCCTTTTGACACCACCCGCATCTATGTGAGTGGACGCCTGCATGCTGCCGCTACGATCATTTACCTTTCACCTTGAATCCCCTGGCTCGGCCATCCGACTCACACCCCTCTGCCCTGCAGGATACGGCTCTGGTCCTTTGGCTCGCCTCCTTAGTGATGGCAGCAGTGGAGGCTGGTCTCTCCGCCTGGTGCTGCGCAGCATTGCTTTCCCTGCGTGGAATTGGTCCCTGCGCTGCTTCCTACAAAGTGGTCTTGGTAAGAGAGTCCTCTGGCTCCCCTTTTGAGGTACGGCTTCTGCAGTATTTTCTTCAGCTGAGCCCCCCAAGATGTGTGTGTGTGTGTGGGGGGGGGTGTAGGTGAGGAAATGGGCTCCCCAAGCCCCATCTACCACCATGCTTGACTCTCTCGTGCCTTCTCCTTGTCCTCTCTTTCCAGCTCCAGGAGCCAACTCCACAGAAAGAGGCTGCAGAGGAAGGCTGTGGAGGCGAGCCTCATCACCAGCTGCTGCTTGAAGTGGCCAAAAGACCCTCCTAGGAAGGAGAAGTGGGCTCAGGGAAAGACCAGCAGCACCCTACCCAGGGGGGTTCTTCCGCCAAACTGGAGAAGAACTTTGAAGGACAACAAGGTTCCCGGGAGCTGTCTTGCAAAAACCAGAAGAGACACTATGAAGCCAGTTTACCAGGGCCGACCCACCCACAGCCCAGCCACTCACAGATGAGACAGATTCCCAGAGCACATCCCTGCACACTTCTAGAGCACAGGTGTCAAACAGAAGGCCCAGGGGCTGGAAGTGGCCTGTCCAGGGCTCTTATGCGGCCCATGACCAACTAGTGCAAGGGAGGGAACAGGAGACTGCTTGGGGGGGAGTGGGTGGAGCCACTCTGATTGTGGCTTCAGCATGGCGGAACAGCCTTGTTTGCAGCAGCCAAGCAGTGTGGGAGCGTCTTGCCCAGTGCTGCACAGCTGGCTCTCCAGTCCTTACGGATTTTCCTTTGCACACACACACACCCTGCCCATGGGGGCCTTGCAGTGAGGACACACCAACTCAGAGCTTACCAACTGCTGTCCTTTATACAGTTTCTATCTCTGGTACCTGGCATTCTGTTTTATGGCACACATGGCCTTGCCCAACAAAGTGACGTTTATGTCAGATGTAGCCCTCATAACAAATGTCAGCATTTAAAAAAATACATGATGCAGAGCAAGAAGATCAGTAGTCTTTAGGCTCTAAGCCCCAAGAAATCAAATCTACAGGCCAACACCAGCCCCCAGCCTCCTCTTTGCACTATAATCTTTTAAATTACCAGGAGACTTCTGAGTGTGTAGAACTGGTCTTTCCCCACCACCATTGTCCCTCAGCCAGCCCTTGTGTATCTGGAATGAAGGGAAGGGCCAAGTCAGGCACAAAACAGCACATAAGCTTTCCAGTTCTCCACAATTCTTTATTAGGCTAGATGCTAACAAAATAAATAAACGCTTCCTTGTGTTAAAAGCCCCTTTAAGCTGAACTCTGTAGCACTGCAGGGGATGGGTGGTTAGAACCTCTCTCTGTGCTATGTTCTCTGCTTGCAAGGAGATTGGTCTCAACAGTATCCCCCATTCTACCATCTCATTCAGCTGCTTGTGTTGATTCACAGAACCCCTGCCTCTTTACAACCTTGCTATAATCAGCATGTATCATTATCCCAGGTTCTAAAGAGCATCTCTTACCTTTATCTCCCTCTTCATCAACCAGGATAGGGCAGGATAGCTAGAGAGGCCATAACATTCAAAGCCCTGCCAAAGTAGGGACCGTGAGGACCCTAACAGAATCACCCTACGTATAAGGGCAAGCTTCAAGCTCAGTAGCACCTTAAAGACCAACAAGGTTTGACTCTCGAAAACGTATACCCTGGAAATTTTTTCGGTGTCTAATATGCTACGGGACTCGAATCCTGCTCTTCTACTTCAGGCCAGTACAGCTACCCACCTGAAACTATCCTATGTATATTTACTCAAAAGTAAGCCCCACTTTGTTCAGTGGGACACTCTCAGGTAAGTGCGCAAAGGACAGAAGACAAAGCAACACACCTTGCAAACGTGGGAGTGGCTGAGTTAGAAGGCACCTGAAGGCTGCCCTGAGACAGTTGGGGGGGGGGGGAGTAAAGGGTGCTCAGGCTTCCCACGCTAGAGCCAGCCAGCAGTGCTGAGAAACTCCTTTATGCAACTGAATCTGGCTTCTACAGCAGGAAGCCTGTGTGTCCCCTGCATCCTTCTCCCCCTTTGCGCTCTTTCCTCAACGCAAGGCACCTCAGCTCCTGTGACCATGAGACGCAGGGCACCTGGTGGAACGCAGGCTGGCAATGGAGAAAGGGGAGCAAAACCGCCATCCCACTGTGGCCAGCTTGCTCTTTTCTTGGATTGCCCACAGATGGCTGTCCTGGCAGGGGCTTTACCCTCTCTTCTCTGCAGCCACCCAAGTGTTGAGATGAGAGCACAGAGGAGGGTGGGGGGCTGTTGGCGAGGAGGGGCCTTTTACTCCCATCCCTGGCACGAGGCCCACAGCTCAGGGAGGCTTGCGGCTTACCCTTCCTCCTGTCCCTCCAGCTGTCGGCTTTTTCGAGGCAGAAACCACTAGCTGTACTGGGCAATGGAGCGGGCACTAAATGGGGCAGTGGTGCTCAGAAGAGCTGCAGGTGGCATGCCGAAGAGTCACGTGGCTTCCGAGCCACTGAGTGAACATCCCTGGTCTAAAACTATAGTAGACATGAGCTGCCTTCCCAGCAATAGTTGGAGGAAACGCAGAAGCCAGGGAAAGCAGGGCGGGGCCACCCCCCACAAAGACAGGAACCAGAGTAGTACAGAGAATATATATGTTTAATTACTGGAGAATAAATAGCAAGGGAGGGGGGCCCCTTCCTGGAAGGGAACAGTCTGTGGCGGGTGTGGAGCAGGAGACCCCGGCTCACTGGAAGGAGAAGCTGGTGGTGGGTAGCCCCCCACACCACTGGTTGATGAACTTGAGGACATCCTGGCAGGCGGGACTGTGTGACATCTGCGAGGGAGGGCAAGACAAAAGCCGGGGGGGAATAAGAGCTGGCCGTGCTGTCATAGGCAGCCCAGGGGCTGAGCCTTGCTCTTCCAGCCCCGCTCCATCGCTTTCTGCACTCTTCCCACCCTGCACACCTTCTCCCCTCCCCCCAATCCACCCTCACCTTAACAGCCATCAGAAACTTGTTCCAACTTTCCTTGTTGGCTTGCTTGCCGGGCCGCTTGAATTCCACTTTGTTCCTCAGCACAGGATAGCCTGGGAAAGGGGAAGAGAGATTCAGGACTTCTGATGCCCCACTTGTTTTTCTTGAGGTACGGGGCAATGTTCCCTCTAAGCTGTGGGGCCTTGTGAGCAAAAATTCTACTTTGTGAGTGACTGGCATTAAAGTTGTGAGCAAGCTGTTTGGCTACTGCATTAATTAGTTTGCTCTGGAGCCATCCTTCCTGAGCTAAGACAAAAATGTGTGAGCCAGAGGCTAAAAAACTGTGAGCTAGCTCACACCAACTCAGCTTAGAGGGAACACTGGTACGGGGTCTGACTCCCAGGAGCCGAGGAGAAGGTCCTCTCCCCTCCTTTCTGCCTGGGATGGAGGCAAGGCTTTCCTCCTGTGCAGGTTATGCTGGGCTCATGACTCAGTTGGCAACCCTGTACGTATGCTTCCTGGAAAGCAAATCCTCAAAGGGAAGGGAAATGGGGCAGCTCCCAGCAGCGACACACAAATCCTCCTAGACCAGCCGCCTTTGATAGGTATGAGCAGCTGGAAAACACTGGTTATTTATGTATTTATTAAATGTATACCCTGCCCTACCCCAAAAATGGGCATCAGATGGCTTACAACATAAAACCAACAAACAATAAAACAATGAATAGCAGTAGCAGAGAAAACCAAGACCCAAGCCTCATGAAATAATTACCCCAAGAAATTCCAGTGCCGAAGTAATACCCAGGACAGCAGGGCACTGGAAAAGGTCATGAACAGAGCCATGGGCAGGACCGGGGGGTGGGGGGGATGTTTTTAGAAAGTTTTTAGAAAGTTCTGTTCCCCACCGCAGCTCAAAAAGAACCCCCCAAAGTGGGTCTCCAGCAAGGACTTTGAGCTAGTCCAAAATATTATATACTCAGTAGGACTGTCACTCGGTTACAAGTGGACAATCGTGCACTTCAATTGATTTGTGTATTGATTAAATTTGGACACATGGCCGTAAGTCAAACGAGGCAACGAGGCACTCGGCTCCTCGCGGGGAAGGGCAGGGGCCCAAGTTGCAAAGAGGAGAGACCTCGGGGCTCTTTCCTTGAAGGGTGTGCTGAGGATGGCGCACCAGCACTTGGCTGTGCCTCAGTCCTAGCGGCAGGCAGGTGCCCTTGAAACACAGCGTTCCCTCGGCTCTCTCACAGGAGGGGATGCCTCTTCTGAGATGGAGCAGGCTTCCTGGCACAGTGCAGCACTATACTCAAATCCAGAAGGCATCATTTACAAAGAGGCATTTTCCTCCTGAGAGAAGAAAGGGAATGCCTCCTCCAAGGGCACTTTTTGGAAGCGCGCATATTTTTGCTCTCAAATAAATGTGCTGTATATTTTAACCAATCCTGATGCTTTGCATGATCGATCATCCAACCCTCCTGCATGTAAGAGAACTTGAGACCAGGACCAAGAGGGATGCGGTCAGTGTGGCTTAGGCTGAAACGTGAGACATGAAACACCAGCCGGATGAAGAAGGGCAGAGAGCCCTCTGCAAGACTGCTTTTAGCTCCAGGGCCACCCCTCTTTGCCACCCTCAGCGCTGCCTCCGCCCCCAGCCGCTCTGCCCTCTCCTCACCTGTGATAAGGCAGGGCAGGGAGCGCACACCTGTGCTCACCGCCACTAGCGAGGCCTCATAGCTGTCACGCTCGTCCCGCGGCAGCACCTGCTCCAGCCGCTGGTCCATGGACATGGTGAGCACCCAGTCGCGGATCTCCTCCCGCTGCTCTTCCTGCCACACATGAGCAAGCCCTCTTAGTGAGACCGAATGCGCCGTATGCCCAGTGGTGGGACAGGAGGGGACTATCGGGGGGGGGGGGTGTTCGTCAGTGTGCAAGTGGGATGGGCAAGGACCATCCTCCCCTCCCTGGCCCTTGGGAGCCTCAGCAGAGGACAGCAGGACTCACCGCCACATGCTGCTTGGCAGGCAGCGGCACCTCATAAGGGATGTCTGTATTTTGGAAGTCAGAGTGGTCCAGAGCGTCGAGGGAGCCCTCCTCAATAGCCTTGGGAGAATGAATGTGAGCTGGTGAGACGGAACGTGACCCCAACTAGTCCCACTCAGCTGCCACCACTGCCCTGACCCAGGGTCTTCAGGCACTACTCACATCTGTCAGGTCAAGGAAGCGGTTAGGTTCAGGAATATAAAGGCCATGTTCTCCCAGCCAACTTCCTGGAGATGGGGTGGAGACAGAAAAAGAAGGTGGCATGAACAGGAAGACGTGGCTGGGGGGGGGGGGCAGAGCACACGCCGGAGTGATCTAGTTTGGGCCTCTGCGTCCCACTGACAGTGTGGTTACAAAGGTCCGATAAAACCTAAAGACTTGCCAAGAGAACAGAAAATCGCCTTTCTTGCTTCTGTAACACTGAGAGGCAATGCGGTGTAACGGTTACGAGCAGTGGACTTTAATCTGGAGAGCTGGGTTTGATTCCCCACTCCTCCACATAAAGCCCGCTGGATGACCTGGCTAGTCACAGTTCCCTCAGAACTCTCTCAACCCCACCCACCTGTTGTGGAGAGAGGAAGGGAAGGCAAGGCAACTGTAGGCTGTTTTGAGACTCTCTAAGGCAGAGAAAAGCAGGGTATAAAAACCAACCCTTCTCCTAACCCAGCCAGTTACAAGAGGCAGGCAAGCAGAGCCTGAAACTTGCCTAGAAGTAAAGAGCTGCTCAAGTCCTCCTCCCTGGCTGGGGCCTTTCTTGCAGGAGTTGCTAGGGTGGTTCTCCAATGAGCCTCAGGGGAGTCTGAGTTGTACCTGGCACTGGCAGTATCAAATGTGGGAACAGCCACAGAATGCCACTGGTAGGCGGACTCCAACCCCTGCTCTGTTATACCACTTCAGTACCACCACTGCCCTGTCCCCCAAGGCATCTCTGCAGGAAGTGTTTGCAGGCAGCAATCCAGTCTCTGAGATGGGGCAGAGTTCCTTCTTGGGAACACGGTATAATGCGAACTCCTGGGATGGGACAGCAGTTCAGAGGCATGTGCATTCACACATCTGGATCACAGAACTGGGCAGGGTTTTCTCGCTGGAGCTTCTGCGATGGCTGGCCCAGCATCCCCAGTGCCCTCCCTGTGCAGGACCAGGGGTGCAGCCATCTCCAGCCTTGGCTCTGCATTCCACCCTGGAACTGGTCAGCAGTGGCGTCCTTGAGCTCTGGAGCTATTCAAGAGCCCTGGAAGCGAGCACAAAGAGCTGGCCGCTAGTTCCAACTAGCCTTGAGCGATGGCGGCTCCCTTGATCTCGAGCATTACCGGTGTTGGTTTCAGCTGGAGGCACCGGAAACGGAGCCTGCACCACCCTTCATGCAGTGCGCTTGACCTCTCAACAGCCCCCCCTTCCCCACGGCCCTCTCACCTTGGCTGCGGTCCCAGCTTCATAGAAGGCCTTGTCTGCAGGGACGATGTCCGTGTGACGTAGCAAGGAGATGGAAAGCTTTGCTGCCACAGTGTCCTGAGAGGCAAACATCCTATTAGCTCCAGCATCGGCCCCCTGGCTCTGGTCCTCCACGGAGCCTCAACTCCCCATTGCCTTTCGGTGGCACAAACCCCACCCCCACCCCCCGAGTAAAAAGCCCCATTCACCCAACTTGATCTGGCTGCCCTCAGTGTAGGACTTTAACCCTCAGCTCTGAAAAAGGATACAACCAGTGCTCCCTCTAAGCTGAGTTAGTGCGAGCTAGCTCACAGTTTTCTAGCCTCCAGCTCACACACTTTTGTCTCAGCTCAGGAAGGAAGGCTCCAGAGCAAACTAATTCATGCAGCAGCCAAATCACTCGTTCATAACTTTAATACCAGTAGCTCACAAAGTAGAATTTTTGCTCACAAGACTCCACAGCTTAAAGGGAGCACTGGATACAGCTCACAAGTGCTTCCAGGCAAGGTCCTCTTTGGTGTTCTTCTGGAACAGGACAGACTCTCTTTTATGAATGAATGGAGGGGGGGCAGATTTAAAGAGGGCAAGTGGTGGGGGACAATACTTGGGGCCTAGTTCTTTCCACCCCTCCTCTTAGATGTGGGGAAAGTGTCCGGGGACATGAGAACTGATAAAAAAATTATTTCCCCAAGGAGAACGGGGATCTGAATGTCCTACTTCCTCGCTCAAGAAGGCTTGTCTGAAAGAGCTTCATCCTCTTAATGGGACGGTACTAAGAGTGCCTGATGTTAACTGGGTCAGAACCTAGGCCATCTGAATGAGGTCCCGTCCTGCTGACATCACAGAGAAAGGACCTTTCACAAGAGATAAAACGGACCGCAACACCAGTGGCTGGGAGGTGGGAGTAAGATTTTCAGCCGTTTGGTCTAGAACGATGTTAAAAGCACATCTGAAATAGAGCAGTGAAGCTTAACGCATCAGATGGAAAGGGAAGCTCTGGCATGACAGAGGAGATCTGCCCACCAGTCCTAATGCGGAGATGCTGCAGCGTGTTCACACTCCTCTATCTGGGGAGCAAATGGTCAAAGCCAGCCTTGAAACTCAGGGCAATCCAGATGTGGCCAAATAGTTCTCTCAGTATTCCACTCATTCGAGAACACTGCTGTGCAAGCAGAGGTGTGAGAGCAAAAGGAAAAGTGTTTTTATAATGTGCTTTTGGACTGCAGTTTCTAGAAGGGGGGTGCCTTTGTAATTGAATGGTTGCAAAAGACTAGGAACAAAAGTAAATCCAAGGTAAAAGCAGGGGTTGCACCGGACCTAAATGGGGAAGGGTCCAAAACAGCCTGCCAAGATCGTTTCCCTCTAGGGAGTCCCACTGGAGGGCCCCAGAAGATTGGGTCCAGCCAACCTGACAGAAATTGTGCTAGATTTGGGGGGGAGGGGGGGAGGAGAGGCTCATAACAGAAGCAGGCTTAGAGTTGGTGTCCATTAGCTGTGTAGGCTGTCGGGGACGGTTGGATCCAGACTAAATGGGCCATTTTCACTGATTTCCCTCCTGCTGCTGCAGACCCCTTCATGTCATTCCTCAGGGCCCCCTATCTCGTGGGAGCAGCAGTTTGTGGTGGTCGGAGAGGGTTAGAGTGGTTGAGGGGTTCCAGAAAGCTTTTGATAAAGTTCCTCATCAAAGGCTCCTAAGTAAGCGCAAAAATCATGGGATAAAAGGACAAGTCCTTTCGTGGATCAAAAACTGGCTAATAAATAGGAAACAGAGAGTGAGTATAAATGGGCAATTTTCTCAGTGGAGGGTGGTAAGCAGTTGGGGTACCACAGGGATCAGTACTCGGTTCAATGCTTTTTAACTTGTTCATTAATGATTTGGAGTTGGGAGTAAGCGGTGAAGTGGCTAAATTTACGGATGATACAAAGTTGTTCAGGGTGGTGAAAACCAGGGAGGATTGTGAGGCACTCCAAAGGGATCTGTCAAGGATGGCCAAGTGGGCGTCAACACAGCAAATGGGGTTCAGTGTGGCCAAGTGTAAAGTGATGCACATTGGGGCAAAAAATCCTAAGTATAAATACACGTTGATGGGGTCTGAACTGGCAGAGACTGATCAAGAGAGAGATCTTGGAGTTGTAGTAGATAACTCACTGAAAATGTCGAGGCAGTGTGTGACTGCAATAAAAAAGGCCAATGCTATGCTGGAGATTATTAGGAAGGGTATTGAAAACAGATCAGCCAATATCATAATGCCCCTGTATAAATCAATGGTGCAACCTCATTTGGAATACTGTGTGCAGCTCTGGTCACCACACCTTAAAAACGATATTATAGCTTTAGAAAAAGTGCAGAAAAGGGCAACTAGATTGATAAAAGGGTTGGAACACTTTCCCTATGAAGAGAGGTTAAAGCGCTTGGGGCTCTTAAGCTTGGAGAAATGACGACTGAGGGGTGACATGATTGAGGTTTGTAAGATTATGCATGGGATAGAGCAGGTAGAGAAAGAGGTACTTTTCTCCCTTTCTCACAATACAAGAACTCGTGGGCACTTCATGAAATTGCTGAGCAGTCGGGTTAGAATGGATAAAAGGAAGTACTTCTTAACCCAAGGAGTGATTAACACATGGAATTCACTGCCACAGGAAGTGGTGGCGGCTACAAGCATGGACGGCTTCAAAAGGGAATTAGATAAGCATATGGAGCAGAGGTCCATAAGTGGCTATTAGCCACAAGGTATAGATAGGAACTCTCCCGCCTCTTGTAACTGGTTCGGGGGGGGGGGGGGCAACAGGGGGGGGGCTTCTAATGTCCTGGCACCACTGCTGGACCTCCTGATGGCACCTGGTATTTTTGGCCACTGCGTGACAGAGTGTTGGACTGGATGGGCCTTTGACCTGATCCAGCATCGGCATCTCTTATGTTCTTATGAGGGGGAAGCAGGAAAGTTCCATTCCACTGATGCAAAATTTAGTCTGGATCCAACCCAGAGACTCCAGAGCAAAAGGGCTGAATTGGGATTCATATTACTTCCCCACCTGGTCTGAACAAAGATTTGGGGTTACTCACCCATGACAGGTGTGAACTAACTTAGTATAACGAGCAAATGGACTCTGTATTCTTCTTGATAAAATCTGCATTTTACAGAATTGCTTTTCATCTGGTACTTCCTGTGTCTCATGGCCCCAGACCCTGCTGTTGATTTTTTTAAAAAATATTGGTATATAAAATGACGACACACTGAGGATCCCTTTGTTGCATCTGAGAAAGAGGGCTCCAGCCCACAGAAGCTTATGCTGGAAGAAAATTCTGTTGATCTCTAAAGGGCCACAAGGCTCTTGTTTAGTTTTGCTAACGTGGATACCCCTCTGGACCTCAACATCTGGAATTCTTGCTCTGATGGTAAGACCGTGCCCTTCTTTCAGGTGAAGCCAACCCAGGTGCCCATCCCTGCCACGAAGGACTTCACCACATGGTCCCAAGGGCAGCATCTAGCTGTGGCCTGTGCCTGCCCTCCTTCACTCACCAACTGCTTGATACTCTGGGCTGCAGCCCGTGTGGCATAGTAGTGGGACACAAGCAGCATGGTCTCAAACTCCTCGTGAGCAGGAGTGTTGGCTTCACTTGACTTCACCAGGTTCTCGCACTGTGGGTGAAAGGGAGACGGGGAGGCCAGTTAATGTGTAGCAGAGCCCTCACCAGCCAGCAGTGTCACAGCTGGAAGCCAGCCGTTCTTTCAGATTAAAGAGATGCACTTGTTGTTTTTAAGGAAGCAAATACAAAAAGGCATGAGGTTATGATTTTTCAGAAAGAGGCAGGTGCTAGCCAGTTGCACGGGGAAGGAGCCACAGTTCACCGGCAGAGCACCTGGTCCCTAGTCCAGTCTCTAGCAGTATCTCCATCTGAAAGGATCTTAGCTGGGAAAAAGGCCTTTCTCTGCCAGCTGCTGCCACTCAAGGTAGACAATACAGAGCTTGAGGGATTGCTGCAGTGACTCAGTATAAGAGCACCTTCACCTATTTGAGATGCCATCCGTTATTTTGTATACAGGCAGTATGTCATTAAACACCTGGACTCTGGGCACTTGTGAAACCACCAGGACCTCATTTCCTCAGAGTTCAAAGGCAACCTTTGAGGAAGATCCAAGAGGTGAAGCCATCAAACCAGACAATCACAAATCTGCTGGGCAGGAGGTGATGGTGAAAGACCCAACCCTGGGGACTGTGAAGATTGTCTCATCACACCGTTCTTCTACTGCAGGGAAACCTTTTATCTGGATCATGGAATAGGGTTAAACCCCAAATAACATGGGAGAAAAAAAGACTCCCTTGACAGCTGGCTGAAGCAAGGCCATTTCAAGAGAGGCACTCCTGTCCCGGAGAGTTCCACAAGCACAAACGTTCACATCGCAAGCCCCAGAGGTCTCTCTTTAGTTACAACAGGGACTTCTCTGGATCAGAACCAGATTTTCCTCAGCAAGCCTTTCCTGTATTCTGAACGTCACCTGAAGCTAAGGGGATACTGAAAAAGAGAGCCTCTCCCACTGAGCACTGCTCTCCTTGCAGAGCTGCTCAACAGCAAGTGCCTAGAACCTGTGGTTGCCTCTGGATTTGGTGCTCCAGAGGAGACTCGGCGAAGGCCTGCCCACAGATCTTATGCTGCTGGTGCTCCTCTGGCCACCGAGCACCATAAGCTGACAAGAACCTTTCCCAGCAACCAGGGGCCTGCCCAAGCTCCTGCGGCACTCACCAGGTTGGAAAGCACGTCCCGCAGGTCAGCCCAGCTGCCATAGGCCTCCGCGTTGTTCATGCCAGCTACATTCACCATCTCCACAAAGAGCCGTTTGTAAATGTTGAAATTCTGCATGGGGAGAGGAGGGGAGAAGAAGAAGAAGAAGAAGAGATTGGATTTATACCTTGCCCTTCACTTGGAGTCTCAGAGCGGCTTACAAACTCCTTTCCCTTCCCCTCCCCACAACAGACACCCTGTGAGGTAGGTGGGGCTGAGAGAGCTCTGACACAAACTGCTCTTTTTCAAGGACAGCTGTGCCAGAGCTTGTGACTGACCCAAGGTCACATCAGCAGGTGCAAGTGGACAAGCGGGGAATCAAACCTGGTTCTCCCAGATTAGAGTCCGCACACTTAACCACTACACCAAACTGGCTCTATCCAGAAGAGTCTGGATAGAGATCTGGGAAAGCAAAGGGCGTCCAACAGACCGGCAGTTCCTGCCCCTTCTGGCTTTCATGGCATCCGTTACCTGGGAATTGGCAGGTGTGCCATGCTGGACGTAGAGGCTCAGGGCTTTGTCCCAGCTCCCCTCGCGGATGAGGTGGGTGGCATAAAGGGCCACGTACTTGTGCAACAGCTTGTAATTCTGCAAGAACAAGACGAAGGCTGGGAGGCTCCTTGCAATATTACCTGTCGAAGGCTCCAGGGAGGAAAGGGGCAGGTGGGATTGATGGACAGGAGGCACCTTACAGCAAACTCCTCGTTTGTGGACTGTGCCCTTAGTTTTTCCCATTTCTTGAACATTAGTGAGGGGGGAAAACCTTAGTAAAATCAAATAATAACCCAACCCCCTGTTCCTAAGTAACCCCACAATTGCCATGAGCAGCCAAGAGTTACGGTTCAGAGCTTTGGCGGGCAGGAAACTGGAATGGTGAGCTTAGACTCTCCCAGTACAGTGGTCACTTATTCATTGGATTCAGTTGGCCTTCCCAGGTTTATTCCTGCACAATCCATTTTTTGCTGACCTTTGCCTTATCCAGGCACTTTCCTGCTCTCACAATCACCAGATTCCACAGCCTTTATTCCATTCGGCTGAGCGAATTGTTTTCAGGGAAGAAAAGGGGATTGATCCAACACACCCAGTCACTCTTCAGTGCCTTGGCTCCACAGAGCTGAGAGACAGCCACCCTTTTTCAGGTGCCCTCAGCTTAGAGAAGCTGAGACTGCCCTTGCTGCATCAGAGATCTGTGGCCAGCTTTCCTGATGCCTTGATAAAAAGCAAGCGGACTGGGCTCATGGGGATTGGGGGTGCAGAGGGAACATGGTATGAGTCTGAGGGGCAGGAGACCCCACAGCTACCTGCTTGGCGGCTGTCTCTAGGCACTTTTCCCATTGTTCTCTCTCCACGTACATATCGAGGGCAGCCATGACATCAACTCCCACCAGCTGAAAAAGAGAAAAGAAAGCTCTTGCACAGATAGACAGCATTACAAAAAGATGGTCGTTTCTAGTACAAAGAGTCAACTTGAGCCTTCTAAACCAAAGCCCGTCCTCTTCGGATCACCCTTTGCTCTGTCACATGGGCCTCGCTTCAGGACCCCTCCACAAAACCCCGGGAGAGTCCAGCCGCCAGCCTCCACTGACGGATCCATTGCCTCCCTCCCTTCCCTTGTAACACAGCTTGCTGGCTCGAGCTTCTCTACCAGCCACGCACTGGTTTTATTAATGTTTTCATAAGTCATCATGAATGGAGAGGTAGCAGCTTTCACATGCCGTTTAAAGGGCATTTTTAGATGCCTGCTGGTTGTGTTTCTTTTAAAAGCAGTGCCTTTTGGGAAACATGACACACATACTGAACTGAACTGATATCCCAATGTAACAATTTCAACACAGCAAATGATCAGTCTGTGCCCTTTCCCCTCCCTCCCTTTCAGGGTTCCATCTCACCGAGTCCACTTTGCCCTGCTCCTTGAGATACTCCTTGTAGTGCTGGTCCACGTACTCTTCGTACCTGCCACAGAGGAAGGGTCTGTCTGTCACTTGTAGCTTGGCAGACAATGCCACCCTCCATTGCTCAGAGCCAAACAGCTTCCCCACCATAGTCCCAGTGGTATCAGAGAAGGTGTATACCCCCCCCCCTAAAATCCTTAAGAGCTTGCAAGGCAGACACATATACACTTCGTTCTGCCTCTACATTCTCGTCTTTCTTAGACAAGTAGCCAGAAGCTGCTGCTCAGTGGGTGAGTGCATGTTTTGTCAAAAGCCCTCAGTTCAGTCCCTGGCATTCCAGTTACAAGGAACGGAGCTGGAAAAGACCGTGTTCTGCCCAAGAAGACCCTGAGAAGCTACTGCCGGTCATAGAATCGTAGAGTTGGAAGGACCCATACAGGCCATCTAGTCCAACCCCCTGCTCAATGAAGGGTCTGCCTAGAGCATCCCTGACAAGTGTTCCTCCAGCTGCTTCTTGAAGACTGCCAGTGCGGGGGAGCTCATCACCTCCCTAGGCACTCATAGCAGAGGATACCGGGGTTCAGAGGAGCCACTACTTATGACAGTCTACGGCAGCTTCACCAACAAGGGAAGTTACCTGGGGTCGAGCTCCTTGGCCACCCGTTTGGCTTTGTTCCACTCTTCCCCCTCCATGAAGGCATCGATGGCTTCCTTGATCATATCCAGATTGAGGTAGAGCTCAGCTGCCTGAGGATGGGTAAGGAATCAGCTACACACATTTTGCTCCTTCCACACAGGGGAAAGTGGGTGTGCGCATGCAAGCGCTGGCTCTGAAGTGCAACGCTCCAGTCCCGGTAAGTGAGCTTACCACATTGAACTTGCCAATGCTGACTAGCTGAGGTCCCACCGTTCGCATCACCTCGATGCTCCGGGGTTGGCCGAGGAATTTGATGGAAAGCTCTGCCGCCTACCAAAAGACGAAGGATTCAAACCCACGAAGCCAGAGTGCAAGAGGGGGCAACGATGACCTACCATGGACGAGGGCTTGGAAGGTAGCAAGGGGCACATACAGCCTACAAGGCACTGGCCATGGGGGAACAGAGAGGAGACCTCAAGCCCCGCAAGGGCAATTGCTGCAAATGACCTCGCGTGCCATCTGAGCAGACCCTGCCTCCTAACTGGTTGCCTTAGATTAACACTGGAACAGTTCTGTGGATCCACAGTGGTCACTTACCTTCATCCAGCACTTCTCCATCCGGGCGTTGTTGCCCGGGTCGCGCACCTTCAGGTAGCAGTCCACAGCTCGGGAGTACTCGCCTGCCTGCTCCCACTCACGTGCTTGCTCCAGGATCCCCTCAATGCCCCTGCCAGTCAACAGGGTCTTGGTAAGTGTCTGGAGGGAGGTGCAGTAGCAATTGGGGCCTCCAGTGGAATGTGGGACCCTCCCCTCCCCTAACCACAGAGCCTTATTGTGCTAGGAACGGGGTGGGGAGGGGGGAGCTTGGCTGAGGTAATCCCAGTGTTGGTACAAGGATCCCAGAGGCCAGTGACTGGGACCACAGGCCATCTTCTGCATGCCGGGATACCCACTCCTAGGCCTCACCTCCTACAGAGTTGCTTACCTGAGACCCTTCTTGGTTGCCTCTCTTTCGTACGCCTCCTGCAGGGCCTCCAGGTCCCCAGGAAGATACTCCTTGCAGACCCGCAGGGCATCGGCCCACATGCCTGCTTCCTGGGGGTGTGAAGCAAGCACAGGTTCATGACCGTGAGTGCCTTCATAAGGAGAGAGATTGTTGAGCAAAGGGGACGTCTGGGTCCTGAGCAATCTGGAGAAGAATCTCAAAACCACCCATGGGGGGGGGGGATCATTCTTCAGTGCCATAAAATCCTTGGGGTCCTTTGGGAACCACTGGGTGTCACCATTTTTTATGACAGTTCTGCCCAGTCCACACGGGACCATGGTGATGCCCACCCTAATGGCCAGCAGCAAAAGCAGACGTCTGGCACAAAATGACCAACAGAGGAGCAGACGAGCACGCTGTGTTAGCTGGTGCATCTCCTGCAAGATCCCTTTTCTTCCACTGCTCCCTATCCCACTGATGCGCTCCCACCATCAAGAGAAAGTGTGGTTCCTCCCCCATGATTTGGCCTTTCGGCTTGCACAGATTTAATCTTGCACACACCACATTCTGAGTACTGTATTTTTATTTCTATGGGAACCCTTTGTGGACAGGGGGGGGGGGAGCCCGTCCCCGCTCCATACTCTAATTCCCTGTCTGAGAACAGTGAGCGGGCTGGGGAGGGGGCTACTCTGGTCTCAGCACGATACCCTGATGTGCCCTTCATGGGTAGGCACCCCACCCCCGCCAAAGCCGAGAGGTCCCATGCGGGGTTCTCCCACCTTGTAGTGCTTCACTGCCAGGTCGAGACGCTGAGCTCGCAGCAGCAAGGCCTCCGCTTTCGGGAACTCCTTTTGCTTGAAGGCAGCATCAGCCTGGCCAACCAACACGATCACCACGCTGTCTGGGTCATGGGCCTCGGCCACCCGCTGGGCAGCAGCCCAATTCTGGGCATGAGCGTGCCTGGGGCAGCACAGTGGAACAGGGTGGAGCAGAGACAGTCACGAAAAGAGAGAATCAAACTGTTGCAGAATTCTGGGGTCAATGAGCCTGGGCCTTTCTGCTCTCTGTAGGTTTTGCTATAACTGACTTTGGTTTCTTGGGTCAGAAGTCCCATAAGCCTTTGCTCTTTTGCTGGCAGCCTAGACATAAAAACGAAAGCCTTGCCCTGTAGATTAATAAAATATATCTGGGCTAAAGGTCACACTAGCAAAGAGATCTTCTTCAATTCCGCAGGGCCCGTAAGACGGAGCTGTTCCGCCGGGCCCTCGGCTGAGGCAGTGGATGTCCATGTATGGCCTCCCTGAGGTTTTGCTTCCCTTTCTAACAACTGCTGGCCAGGACCACTCGCAACCGTTAAAATAAACTTTTGCTGAAGAATGGTGACCACCCTTTTTAATGTATAATGTTTTAATATTTTAATTATTGTATTAATGAAATTTGCTTTTAATGTATTGATAAAATGTTGTTACCCGTCCTGAGCCTGCTCGCGGGAAGGGGGGACTATAAATATGAATGAATAAATAAGTGAAGAAATAAATGATCAATTTAGGATAGGTGGGTATTTGGCAAGTTTGGAACATTTTTAATTGACTCCTTCCTTGATTCCTATTGGCTGAAATGAGAATAAAAAGGCGGCTTTGGGCTTTGTTCGAGCCAACACCCCACCTTGGCTTGAGTGAGGTCTTGGTCCACAGTCCAGGAATTCCTTGTTCTTTCTGAAGTGCACACTATACCAGGTATAGGGTATCGATATTGAATATATGCCATTGAGTTTTACTTGTGTATGGTTTTAGAGTTAATAAATACTTTCAGTTTAAGGCAACTGTTCTCTCTGTGTTTCCCTCTCCCACTGGAGGCCTGAGTTCCCTAGCCAGACTTCCACCCATCCATAGAAAAGAACCCTAATGGGGTTGGGGATCCCTGGACCCCTAAAATTCTAGGTCTAGGTCTAAAATTCAGGTCTAGGGTCTGGATCCCTAAAATTACCCAACACAAACAGCCTAGGAGACTCCCAAGAGGTTAGAAGGCCCTCTCCCAGCAGACCTAGCCGGATAGGACCAGAAATGGGGGCCCTGGAGGAGAGAGAAGCCAGGTCAGAAGCCAGGGACACTACTGTGGTAAAGGGCACACTTACATCAGGACTGCTTCTTTGGGCTTCCCGGCCTTCACAAACTCCACTTCTGCCTCTTCAAATTTGCCCTGTTCACCAGGAGAAAGATGGATAGAGTGGGAGTCTCAGGACAGTTACCATGGGCATCCCACCTACTTGATTCCAATCCCACACCAGCACTCCTACCTCATCTTCCAAGAAGGAGCCGTACTTGAAATGAATCTCGGGCAGCTTCTGTTTGAGTGAGAGCCGAGCCAACTCAAAGGCAAAGTCAAACATGCTGCAGAGGAGAAGAAGGAGCTGGCTGGAGGAGAGGGGCCTAACCTGACTCCAGCGGACAGCAAAGGGTGCTCCACGGGCGCTTAGCTGAATACGGGGCACAAAGGAGGGTACAGCCACAAGAGGCTACCATGCTGGCAGGCGGTAGGACCCCCCTGTAGAAGCCCAGTGCATTGTGGGAGGCCACAGACAGCCCCTACCCCGAAGGCCATGCCAGTGGAAAAGCACACGCTTGGACGCGAAAAGACTGTCCGCCCCGCACTCACTTGTTGTCAGCCGCATGGTCAATGGCCATTTCCAGGAGTCCAAATTTGTTCAGGAGCTTCACAGCCGCCTCTCCGCCCAGACTCTTTGCCCATAAGAAGGCCACGTGCTTGTGGGAGTTCACCCCGCCGTGCGCTTTGGCCACCTGCCTCAGAGCAAAGACAGGGAGGGCTTGAGCGTGCAGCGGCTCCCCCTTCCCCTGCCCCAGGGAAGAATGTCCTCCCCAAGTCCCAGGCAGCGGGTGAGCCCTTCAGCATGGAGAGTGGTCTGTGCTGCCAGCTGCAGCCTCTGAAGTGGCGGTTTTGCTCGTGCTTCCTGTCTCCAGGGGTAAGCTCTGGGTGTGGGCAGGGGTGCAACTCCAAGGGCAAGAACCAAAGGGCCCTCGATCTGGCACCCTGTAGCCTCGGTCCACTGGATGCAGGACCAGCCCAGGACGTAATTATTTTTTGTTTGTCGTATGTAAGATGTGCGTATTTCATTTACTGTATTTTGGATTGAGTTTTTATATTATTGCCATAAGCTACTTCGGGCTTCTTCAGGAAGAAAAGTGGTGAATGAATATGCCAAGTGAGGAAACACTAGACTGGGAGAGGGATGTCACCCCCCCCCCCACAGGTCACTCTCCATTCAGACAGCAATGGGTACAGTACATGACACAGCCACCCATCTGGGGCTCAGCTGGTAGACTGCTGGGAACAATCTCTATCGTTGTTACTGCAGTGTATGCTGGGAGCTGCCCTTACCCTGTAGGCCTCATCCCACATGTTATTCATTCGGTACATGTTCACGGCGGACTTCCACTCCTTGGCTTCCAGGTAATGATACTCCGCCTCCTGCAGGCGGCTATCAGCTTCCAGCTCCTGAAACCAGAATCCCGTCCGTTAACCAGGCTGGCTCTCCCTGCCCCTGCCCCTTAAAGCCCTCTCCAGAACTCTCACCTTGCCCAGGTGGAGGTGCGTATCGCTCAACAGGTCCTTGTGGTACTTGGCCAGCAGGCGGATCATCTCGTCATACATCTTGCACTTCTTGTACATGGTGATGGCCAAGTCCGGTTCGTCGACCGTGACGTACAGCCTGGGGACGACGCGGTGTTGAGAGGACGGCCCCCAGAGTGCGTGGGAGAGTGCCACCCCTAGCCTTGTGCAGAGCCGGCTGCCTTCGGCTCCAGACAACTACCAGAGAACTCAGACCAGCTCAAAGCTGGCAGTGCCTCTTCGGCCAGGGCAGCCTCAGGCCTCCCCCACAATCCAAGTGGGCTGGAATCCCAGCTCAGGCGGTTGCGGCGATGCCACTTACCGCTCGGCCTCCTTGTACTTCCCTTGCCGCTCCATCTCCTGGGCCTGAGTGATGTACAGCACAGACACGTCCTCCGGCCTCATGCACCTGGATGCCAGCTGTAGAGAGATGGCAGGCCCCAGGCTAAAATGATCTCCCTGGACCTCCCGCAAAGTAGGGTCTAGTTTACCCCCACCCATTTCTTTCAGTAGTGCAAGCGATTCAGGACAGACCAACTGGCTTCGGTTTTTTAGAAAAGCAAAGCGTTTGCCCTCTAGAGTTCAAAGCATGGGAATTTCTCCTCTGCCCAGCCCCAGCAAGATCCCACAGTGAGCCTCCATTTGAGACAGGCACGCCTGCATCGGGGCCTGTGATTTCGTTTACCGGTGACTGTTGACGTGAATTTTAAGGGCAAGCTCCCTTCATCGTGCAGTGGGGATCAAAAACTGGAAGGACATCTAAAGGCAGCCCGTGTCTCCCCAAGTCAGTGCCATGCACACGTGCAAGAGGAACAGGGCCTGCAGACAGGAGTCTCACCTTATGCGCCTGTTCCCAGCGTCCGGCCTGCGTGTACATGTCGATGGCATCCTTTATGCAGTCTCCTTTGATGTACACCTCCTCGGCTATCTGGAGAGACCAGTGCCACATTGCTCAACCACGCCATGACACTCACCTGGTGCCTGCGACTTTGGGTGGGTGGTGGGGGGGAGGGCCTTACCTCATACTCCTGCAGGGCTGCATAGTGCTGGGCTATCTTGGGATAGTGTTTGGCTCCCGTTTTCTTGTCCTGCGTGTCCAGGATGTAAATGGCCTTCTTCCATTGCCGTGCCCCGATGGCCGCCTCGATGGCCTTGACGGCACACCTGGAGTGGGAGGACACACTTCTTAGGGCAAGACTCCTGGCTGCCGCAGCTCTCCAGGAGAACAGAGAAGGAGCAGGGGACGGTGCCAAAACCCACACACAGCGGCCAGACACCACAGTGCCCAGCAGAGACAACTCCAACAAGGAAGGGTGCCTTCCCAGGGCTGTTGTGTGTGTAAAGTGCTGTCAAGTCGCACCCCACTTATGGCGATCCCGAGGCAAGAGACATTCTGAGACAGTTTGCCATTTCCTGCCTCTGTGCAGCAGTCCTGGACTTTGCTGGCAGTCTCCCATCCAAGCACTAACCAGGGCACTAACCCTGCTTAGCTTCCCAGAACTGATGAGCCTTGGCTAGTCCGGTCAGGGCCCTCCTGCCTTTACCTGGCCTCAATATAGTGGTTGATGGCAGCGTCCAGCTGCTTCTGCTGCACCAGATGGTCCCCCCAGCCCTCCTCCAGCTTCACAACTTCCGCTGGGAAGACCAGACGAGCCAGCTCCACTGCTGCATGGAGGAGAGACACAAGAAAGGCCTAAGGGCGGCAGGAAGAGGAAGAGCCCCGGGCCCGCTTGCTCTTCCTTGGACTCCTTGATCCGGATCAGATCCAGGACAATGGTCTTAAGGAATGCAGCGGCAGGCAGGGCTGGAGAAGGAGACCCCACATGAGCTCAAAATAGGAGTTAGGAGGCTAAAACGTAGCCAAGCCAGGAACTTAGGGAGCAGCCCCCCTGCCCAGTCCGATACCTTTCAGGAAAGAGCTGCCCTTCCGGTAACACTCCAGCGCCCTTTGGGGGTTCCGAGTCTTCTCAAACAGCTCCCCAGCCTGAGACACAGACATAAGAGGGGCCCTCGCTGAAATCCCTTCCCAAGAGAAACTGAACAGAGTGCAACTCCAGCTCTTTTTCAAAGGCAAGTGAAAGGCCTTTTTTTGAACAAAAGCAGAACGAGCCTACAGTGACCTGATTCGTGATTTATTTATTTTTTGGGGGGTCACGTGTCCCTTTGGTACCCAGAGTCCAGATGAACCCTGCTGCACCCCAAGCCTCTCGCCTGGGAAACCATAATTGTAACCCCAGCTGTGCTGATGCACAAGCAAGTGCCACTCAGGCCTTTACCCTTGGGAAAACCCACCCCAGCCCCCAGAGCCCTTACGGGAAAGTGAGAAGAATGAGAAAGTGAGGCTGTGCATATGCAGAGAAGGGGACACCCTGATGGTGGGCTGAGTCTGCTGAGTTCCCTGCTACTAGTCAGGCCTACTCTGAAGGGATAAGGAGAGGTTTGCTTGCAAGACAAAATAAATCAGAAACCGCAGCTTCTGGGGTGGACTGCATTACCGTCTGCAGCTCTCTTGCCTTGCTAACTCACTGAAAAGACTGGCCACTTCCATCAGTCTCCTGAACAAGCCGAGCCCTGAACCCATGAGATGAAAAGACCAAGGCTGCAGTCCTGCACATAAGAAGAGCCCTGCTGGATCAGACTAGAAGTCCATGTAGTCCAGCATCTGGTCTCACACAGGGGCCAACCGGTTCCTATGGAGGGCTAACAACAGGGCATAGAGACCGAGGCCTTCCCCCAATATTGCCTCCTGGCTCTGGGATTCAGAAGCTGACTGCCTCTGAATGTGGAGGTAGCCACTGACAGCCCTCTCATCCACGAATCTAAGTCCCTTTTAACTGGAAGATTAGCAGGAACCTTCCTACAAACCTTTTTTGTTTTATTTTGATTTCGTTTACAGTTTTGCCAACCCGTGTTCTCCCTCAGCAGAGTAGGACTAGATCAGACACCTCATTTTCGAATACACGTACTTTCCTTTCTTGATAGAGGAGGCCTTGTCCCCGGTGACTGGGAAACGGGGACTTTGGGGAGCCCTGCCATTTCCACATGAATGGTTTTGTTTGTGTTGGTTTTGTGGCTGAAGGTTGTTGTAGCTTATATGGGGTTTTTTAAAAAAAAGATCCATTATTTTTCTTTTGAATAATTTTGCCTTCGCTGAAGGCTTTCAGTCTTTTGTAGGGACGTGAGTTTAGATAGTTCCAGTCTTTCTTTCTGTCTTTGGTATTTTCTCCCCCCCCCCCCCAAATCCCCAACCCATTCTTGTATAAATATGCACTGTTCTTTTCTCGCTCTAGGGGTGAAGAGCTGGGTCTTTCTACACTACGTTAGCCTGAAGTGACATTCACTCTTTGTATGCCAGAAGAATGTAGCAACCCTGCCAAGGTGTGCAGGGACAGCTCAAAAGCCTGGTGGTTGCCAACTGCGGGTCCCAAGAAAACAGAGGTGAGACGGGTGACGGAGGCTGGATGCCAATGAAGCCTAAAAGGGAGGGGCTGATGCCGGAACAGGGGACGCTCCCACCTCTGTGGCCCCCCCTCACAGAACAGCCATGGCAACGCAAATGCAGAGGCTGACATTGCCTTGCAACTCCTTTTAGGGCCTTATTCCCCTGCCCTTTGCACTTCCGGTTCCAGCCCCCGTCAGAAGCCCCACCTGCTCGAAGAGCTCCCCTCGGATAAGAGCTGTGGCAATGCGATTGACGAGGTCGGTGTTGCCCAGCAGCTCCTCTCGGCCCATGGCCAGCCGTGCCGCTTTGGCCGGCAGCCCCGCCTTCAAGTAGAGGCCGACGGCTGCTTGCAAGTCCCCTTGGCTCTCCTGCACCTCTGCAGCCCGCTCCTCCTGCTGTGTCTGCAACAGCCACTCGTAATACCCTCGGCGCAGTTTCTCCAAGGAAGGATGGCCCTGGGAAAAGGGGAAGAGAGACACAAAGTGGACACACCTGGAATGATCTGCTGCCCTTGCAGACTGTGCCGACTGGTACAAAGAGCCACCATCTCCACCCATGGGGCCTGACCAGTGCAAGCCCTTCTGCTCCCAGCCTCATCTTACTTTGGCCTCTGCCACCGCAATGCATTCGTCCCACATGTGCAGCTCTTGGTACATCTCCATGGCTTCATCCACAGCATTCTAGATGAAGGTAAAAAGTATGAGTTAAAAAGTACTTGACTCACACAACCACTTTTAACGACTCACACAACCACTTTTAACTTTAAAAGGGGTAATTTTTCTGATATGAGGGGACATGTGGGGAGGAAACTGAAGGGAAAAGTAGAAAGGGTCAAAACCATTGGGGAAGCTTGGAAACTGTTTAAAACTACAATTCTAGAAGCTCAAAAAAAAAATATTCCGCAGGTTAGGAAAGGCACAAACAGGTATAAGAAAAAGCCTACATGGTTAACAAACAAAGTAATGGAAGCTGTAAAAGGTAAAAAGGATTCCTTTAAGCGGTGGAAAGCTAGTCACAGTGAGGCTGATAAAACAGAACACAGGCTATGGCAAATAAAATGCAAGTCTGTGGTCAGGCATGCAAAAAGGGAATATGAGGAGCATATAGCAAAAAATGTAAAGACCAACAATAAAACTTTCTTCAAATACATTAGAAACAGGAAACCAGCCAGGGAGGCAGTGGGGCCCTTGGATGACCAAGGGGTAAAAGGAGTACTGAAGGATGATAGGGAAATGGCTGAGAAGCTAAATGCATTTTTTGCCTCCGTCTTCACTGTGGAAGATGAGAGGTGCTTGCCCACTCCAGAGCCGCTGAGTTCGGGAGGGGTGTTGAAAGACCTGAGTCAGATTGAGGTGACGAGAGAGGAGGTCCTAAAACTGATAAACAACTTAAAAACTGATAAATCACCAGGCCCAGATGGCATACATCCAAGAGTTCTGAAAGAACTCAATTGTGAACTTGTGGATCTCCTGACAAAAATATGTAATCTCTCCTTAAAATCAGCCTCCATTCCTGAGGACTGGAAGGTAGCTAATGTCACTCCCATCTTTAAAAAGGGTTCCAGAGGAGATCCGGGAAATTACAGGCCAGTCAGTCTGACGTCGATACCGGGTAAATTGGTGGAAACCATTATTAAGGAAAGAATTAGTAGGCACATAGATGAACAAAACCTATTGAGGCAGACTCAACATGGGTTCTGTAAGGGAAGATCTTGTCTCACTAACCTGTTAATGTTCTTTGAGGGGGTGAACAAACATGTGGACAAGGGGGATCCAATAGATATTGTTTACCTTGACTTCCAGAAAGCTTTTGATAAAGTTCCTCATCAAAGGCTCCTAAGCAAGCTCAAAAATCATGGGATAAAAGGACAAGTCCTTTTATGGATCAAAAACTGGCTAATTAATAGAAAACAGAGAGTGAGTATAAATGGGCAGTTCTCCCAGTGGAGGGGTGTAAGCAGTGGGGTACCACAGGGATCAGTACTTGGTCCACTGCTTTTTAACTTGTTCATTAATGATTTGGAGTTGGGAGTAAGCAGTGAAGTGGCTAAATTTGCGGATGATACGAAGTTGTTCAGGGTGGTGAAAACCAGTGAGGATTGTGAGGCACTCCAAAGGGATCTGTCAAAGTTGGGCGAGTGGGCGTCAACATGGCAAATGGGGTTCAATGTGGCCAAGTGCAAGGTGATGCACATTGGAGCCAAAAATCCTAACTATAAATACACGTTGATGGGGTCTGAACTGGCAGAGACAGATCAAGAGAGAGATCTTGGAGTTGTAGTAGATAACTCACTGAAAATGTCGAGACAGTGTGTGACTGCAATAAAGAAGGCCAATGCTATGCTGGGGATTATTAGGAAGGGTATTGTAAACAGATCAGCCAATATCATAATGCCGCTATATAAATCAATGGTGCGACCTCATCTGGAATACTGTGTGCAATTCTGGTCACCACACCTTAAAAAGGATATTATAGCTTTGGAAAAAGTGCAGAAAAGAGCAACTCGAATGATAAAAGGGTTGGAACACTTTCCCTATGAGGAAAGGTTAAGGCGCTTAGGGCTCTTTAGCTTGGAGAAACGACGACTGAGGGGTGACATGATTGAGGTTTATAAGATTATGCATGGGAAAGAGCAGGTAGAGAAAGAGGTACTTTTCTCCCTTTCTCACAATACAAGAACCCGTGGGCACTCCATGAAATTGCTGAGCGGTCGGGTTAGAACGGATAAAAGGAAGTACTTCTTCACCCAAAGAGTGATTAACACTTGGAATTCACTGCCACAGGAAGTGGTGGCAGCTACAAGCATGGACGGCTTCAAAAGGGAATTAGATAAGCATATGGAGCAGAGGTCCATCAGTGGCTATTAGCCACAAGGTATAGATAGGGACTCTGGGGCAAGTGATGCTCTGTCATCTTGGTGCTTGGGGGGGGGGTCAACAGTGGGAGGGCTTCTAATGTCCTGGCCCCACTGGTGGACCTCCTGATGGCACTGGTATTTCTGGCCACTGTGGGATACAGAGTGTTGGACTGGATGGGCCTTTGGCCTGATCCAACATTGGCATCTCTTATGTTCTTATGAGGTGCAGGGAGGGACTCAGAGGTGCAGGTGGGATGGGTTGCCTGCAAGGGAGCCTGGCTCCTGGACTCACCTGCTCAAGTAGGATCATCTCCGCCAGCTTGTAGTTCTTCTCCAGCATGGCCAGGCGGACCCGCACCTGGTAATAGTCTGTGCCGTCCCCTCCCTAAAAGGAAATGGGGCAGTCTACAGTCAGGCAGGGAGTAGACGGGGGCTCCCTGCTCCTGGAGACATGAAGCAGAAGAATGGGTGCCTTCCACCCTGTCTGGTCAGTTAAGGGCAGCAGGGCTTTTCACTGCCATAATGTAATCACCACCCTGAGTGAGTACAGCATCTGCTCAGATGGACAGGGGTCCAAAGCCTGAGGAAGAATCTGGGTGTGATGTGAATAGACACAAAAAGCTGCCTTAAACTGAATCAGACCACTGGCCCATCAACATACTGTCTACTTTGAATGGCAAAGGCTCTCCAGGGTCTCAGGCTGAGGTCATCTACATGACCTACAACCAGTGTTCCCTCTAAGCTGAGTTAGTGTGAGCTAGCTCACAGTTTTTTAGCCTCCAGCTCACACATTTTTGCCTTAGATCAGGAAGGAGGGCTCCAGAGCAAACTAATTGATGCAGCAGCCAAATTGTTCACTCACAACTTTAATGCCAGTAGCTCACAAAGTAGGATTTTTGCTCACAAGACTCCAAGGCTTAGAGGGAGCATTGCCTACAACCCTATCCTCGAACCCAGGACCTTCTGCATGCGAAGCAGATGCTCTGCCACTGAGCCACAGATACAGGTGAGGCTCCCCTCCTTGGTATCTTTAAAGGAGGGCAGAGGGGTACGCGTGCAAGGGAAGAAACAGACACGGGCCACTCACATATTCTTTGGCCACCTGGTCCGCAATCTCATTGGTCTTATGGAGGAACTGGGCCTTGGACACGTGCCCAAGAGCAGCAAAACACCTGTGAAGAGAGTAGGAAAGGCGGGAACCCCACTGCAATAACCAGGCCAGCTTGTGCTCAAGCAGAGGTAGTTAACCAGAGGTCTGAAATACATGTGACATTAAGGGTCTGCAATCATATCTTCTAACATGTAGTTCAACCCTTAAAAAGCAGCCACGGATAACCCCAGGTCAAATTCCATTGCCTGTTGTGGCTGTTTTGAAAGGGTCATGGATCCCTAATGTCATGTCCAGGGTTTGGCCCTAATCAAGACTATTATTATGGCAGCTCAAGACAGGAGGAATCCCACCGTCAACATGGGATTGCACAAGCACTGCCATTTGGGTACAAAGGGTCACCAGATGGTTGTTCGAACTAGTCAGATCACGCCCCCTATCCCCAACCCACCTCTCAGCAATGTGCAGCTGCTTGGCTTCCAGGGCCAGTCGGCTCAGCGTCTTCCACATGGCCTCTGTCTCCGTGGACATCTCCAGGGTCTCTAGGAAGGCAACGGCCCTGGGAACAAACAAGAAGGTGGGACCACCGCTCCTCACAAGGCAGGGTATGGGAGTGGGGAGGTTGCTGTAACGCCCTGGCCTGAAAGAGGTGGTCTCTGTGGGGACGGATGAAGCTCTGCAAGGGGGTTGCTGGTTCCTTCCTACTGAGGACCGCCTACCTGCCTGCCCCGCTTCTTCCACCCTTACCTGTGGTAATCGCCATCGTCGATTGCTGTGCCGAACTCGATCAGCCCTTCATCCAGGGTGTAGGACACTGTGTTCACCCCTTCGGTCACAATCACCTCTGTCTTCCCGTTGCTTCTTTCCAGGTCCACAATGTCACCCTGCCAGGAGTCAAAACCCTTCGTTCAGCATTGCCCTTCGCCCACTCTGCAAGCATGGGAGGGCCTGGCACCACTCCGCCCTCTGTGAGGCTGACCTTGCTGTCCCCTCCACCAGCTGAGGGATGCCCAGCTGCTTTGCCAGATTTCCCTTCCTCCGGCGGAGACAGAGAGGACGCTGGTTGGGCACCAAGCCAGAGCCCGGGCACCTGCCTCGTGGCAGCCACCAGAATCCCCAGCAGAGGAAGGCTGTTACCTTCATAGGGAACATGGTCACGCGCTCTGGGGTGTCGATGTTATACCACACGCAGAGGCTGCTTCGGTTCTGGCCCACCACCACGTCGCTCCCTGGGACCCACTGCACATAGGAGCAGTAGCTCAGGATGGTGGTCTTGGTGGCTCCCTCGATGTCATACAGCTGCAGCTGGAGGGAGGAAGGAAAAGAGTCACGGGAGCACTCGAGGAGGGGGAGGCAGGCCCTCACTGCCTCCTTCCCACCCCTGCCTCTTCCTCTGGGGCCTTACCCTCATCTTCTTGTCCCGGAAGAGCAACTTGTGACCTGTCTCGTTGAGCTCCAGCCAGTCAATCTTGCTGTCGTGGCTGATGGTGCCAATGTTATAGCCACCCACGAGGTCCACTGCGGAAGGCAGAGAAAAGCCACGTGGCTCAGGAGCTATGTCAAAGGGGGGGGCGTGTCAGGAGCAAGGAAGGCGCCTCACTCACCCATTGCTATCGTCTTGATGTCCACCAGATAGGCCAGCCGCTTGTTCTCTTCCACTCCCCGCTGCCTCCTTTCATTGATGCGGACGCTGGGGCACAGAGGAGACAGGCATTACGACAGGGCGAGGGCCCAGTTACCCTCTTCCCTGCAGAGGTTCCAGTGAGAAAAATAAAAGAGGGCTTCGCTGCTCACCTGATGAGATGGGGGTTCATAAACTCGGTGCGCACAGAGCCCAGGATCTCATTGTTGCCGTACTCCACCAGGGTCAGCTCCCCTGCGTTGAAGATCATGCAGACCTGGAGCAAGGGGAGAGCTTGAGGGGGATGTCCCTGCTTGGACTGCGGGAGTCGCAGGGGGGGGGGAGAGGGAGGGCGTCGGCTTTCCAAGCACAAGGCTTGCTCTATTTGCCCTGTGCTGCACCGGGGGCCTCGAGCTGGCCCTCACTCCCTAACGTTGC